TACAGTGTGTTGCAAAAAAATCCGCAAAATTTTTTATGTCATTTAAATCAGTGTAACTCACTCAATTTGGAACCGATTTTCGCGCTGTCAGCTATAAATAAATCGCTAGGTATGTGAGTATCTCGTGTCACCATTGTGTGGCCCCTTGTTTTTGTGATTTGTCGAACCCATCGCTTTGAAATGTCATCATCTACGGAAAAAAGCCGGCGAGAAGTCGTTTTATTCTTGTGGAACAAAGGTGTACGTTCTGCCAAAGAGATCCATACCCAAACAAGTATCCCCCTCAGGACAATATACGATATTATTCAAAAAATAAAAAAAACTGGCACCGTAGATCATGCCGGGGGCAATGGTCGTCCAACAAAAATAACGAAATCCGATAGGCAGGCAATAGGTCAGTATATTCGCAGAAATCCTTCCATTTCAACAAGGACTATTGTAACAAAACTGGCAAAAAATGATACCGTGGTGGCTCACAGTACTGTTTCAAGGTATTTAAGCAAGGCTGGATATCTAAATAACCTCCCAAAAAAGACTCCAATGCTCACCGACCGTCACAAGCAAGCACGTGTAGAATGGGCCCGGAAACACCTAGATGACGACTGGAAAATGACATTTTTTTCGGACGAAACGGCATTTCAACTTTTTCGGAACACGATTAAATATTGGTATAAAGGTTCTCGACCAGTTCGTCGCATTCCAAAAGATCGTACGAAAATTAAGGCATGGGGGGGATTCTATATAGGGGGTAAATCAAGTTTGTACTGCTTTACTGATACAATGGATGCCGAGTTTTATACTAGTATTCTTTCAAATCATATTCCCGAAGTTAAGGCGATGCTTGGTGATGAATTTCGGTGGCAGCAGGACAACGACCCGAAACATACGAGTCGTCGTGCCATGGCTTTTCTTCGAGAGAATGTTCCCGAAGTTATTGATTGGCCATCCTGTAGTCCCGATCTAAATCCGATCGAGAATATATGGGCCATCGTCAAGCGAAACGTAGAGAATCGTACGCCGAAAAATTTAAGTGAATTGGAAAAGTATATGATCGAAGAATGGGAGGCAATTCCAAAGTCAACTTTAAAGAATTTAATAGGCTCTATGAGAGAGAGGTGTCAGGAGGTGTTGGAAAAAAACGGCGAACTTATAGGCTATTGATTTTTTTACGTCATGAAAATTAAATAAAAAGCTATTATCAGTAAAAATTTTATGTCATTTGGCGCAGTCGTTCTTTCGTGATCACGTGAATCGTGATTGCGGATTTTTTTGCAACACACTGTATAT